CACACACACACACACACACACACACACACACACACTCACACAGTATATATGGTATATAAAGAAAATCATACGAAAAATAATACATTCAAGTCTTGGAAAATGTTGTCACTCCGTAACATTATTTTTTCATTATTTACAATGACTTACCATTCTTTTCCTCTGTGACGGTCACCTCACTAATCTCAGCATCTTCCGGAAAAGGCAACGGTTCAGAGGAGTCCAAAGCATTTTGCTCAGGCGAGTCGCCGATAAGGTCCGGGTCAGACATGTCTCATGTATTTGACCTAAAGAAAATATCAAAATAGTTAGGAAAGATGCATCAATATGGACATTGGCAGTATGTCCCTTCCCCTGCAGGGTAAAACAGGAAAATGGGAGCTCTGAGTCTGTCCTCCTCCTGCTGGGTGATACAGGCAGAAGGGAGCTATGAGTCTGTCCTCCTCCTGCAGGGTGACACATAGATGGGAGCTAGGAGTCTGTCCTCCTCCTGCAAGGTGATACAGACAGAAGGGAGCTATGAGTCTGTCCTTGTTTTGGTCATACACAGAATTGTCCATCAAGTATCGGCATCTCTAGAAGCAGTTTCAGAAATATAAAAGAGAGAAATCCAAATTTAAAGAAGAAGAAGGAAGAAGAAAGAAAGAAAGAAAGAAAGAGGAAGAAGAAGAAGAAGAAGAAGAAGGAAGAAGGAAGAAGGAAGAAGGAAGAAGGAAGAAGGAAGAAGGAAGAAGGAAGAAGAAGAAGAAGAAGAAGAAGAAGAAAAAGACGAAGAAGAGAAGAAAGAAGAAGGAAGAAAGAAGAAGGAAGAAAGAAGAAGGAAGAAAAGGAAGAAGAAAGAAAAGGAAGAAGAAAAAAGGAAGAAGGAAGAAGAAAGAAGGAAGAAAGAAGAAGGAAGAAAGAAGAAGGAAGAAAAGGAAGAAGGAAGAAGAAAGAAAAGGAAGAAGAAAAAAGGAAGAAGGAAGAAGAAAGAAGGAAGAAGAAGAAGGAAGAAAGAAGAAGAAGAATAATGATGAATGAACACAGAATATATATAATTTAGTGTCGGTATATTGTCAGGTAGAGTTGTCACTTCATATTTCGGGGACTTCCCCCTGAGGTGTTCGTCTCACCATCCAGCACACAACATGTTAATCGCAGTAACCGAGCGCTCACGGGGAAGATGAGAGGTAAACAAGTCGGTCGGATTGGCTGGACCGGCGCGTATTTTCCGCCGCTGACTCACAGCGGCGTCCTGCAGGTGCCTCGTCTTGCCAACAATCCCACTCTCCCTGCGCCGTCTCAGGATGAAGCCTTCGCGTCTTACATTTTCGATAACAACAGAAGCCGGCGAGATAAAATGGAGACGTTCTACAGATCACGCAGAAAACAGATATTTTTACCCCCCATTTATCTGCACTGTATATAGATTTCGCGCAGGTTTCTGTTGCATTTCCAGGTGAGGACGCATGTGCCGACCACACAGACCCGTGACGCATTATGGGATTCCCATGTGTGTGCTGATAGAACAACCATAGGAAGCGTTTTACACAACCCCCAGCAGGTGATGGAAAAGCAGCACAGGCTGCAATACTTGGAGTCATAGCTGTCCCCTGCAGTACTTCTCTTTGGCCACATGATGTCCTCAGTGTTCCAGGTTTAGTGTCACCCAGCATCACTCTATCCAGAAGACTAAGGAGATGCGGTGAGTGCGGGTGGGTCATGAGCCCGGCCCTGGAGAGGGTGTCACCATGGCTTCCTATCGCACAGTATAATAATACAGAGAGCGATGGCATAAAATAGGACCCCCCACTGCCAGAGAGAAATCTGGAAGATGAAGAGGACCATTTGTGTCACATGACCAGCCTGCAGACTTTTAAAAATAAAGCAAAACTTACTGGGTCTCTGTGGGGTAGGAGACGGCAATGCGCCCAGTGTTAGGCTTCAAATTTGCAACTTTCATTAAAAATAATGTTATAATCCTCCTATAAGGTCCAGGTTCAGTCACTTCCTGTTATGGGATGACAACTATCTGGCCAATTCTGCTCCTGTGTTGTCACCCTGTCACATGCCCCCCAGGTAGCGGGTGCTGACACAGACAAGGTCCCCCACTATCTCTATTAGGAACCCGATCCAGAACGCAGATGTGCAGCCGGTGCTGGAGTGCATATAGACAGGAAGTGGATGAAAGAGGCTGCAGGTGGTCAGCAGCACTGAGAAGGGAAAATGGTGAAAATAGTATTTTATGGGGAAAAAAAGCAATATCTGCTTATATTCTGCCCTCCCTGGTTCTTCCTTGCTGGGCCAGTCTAAGTGACCAATACTAATACACTGCGCCTGTATGGGCCTCGGAGATTGAACTATGACCCCATGGGACAGCAGGACTCCCTCCATTGGATATCATCTTTATTCTCTAATTGGTGTTCACCCCTCCAGATGTCCCTTTAAGAGGCAGAGGTCGGCTTCCCGATCATGTGACTCCCGGTCACAGCAGTCACATGATCGGGAGCCCGTCCCACCACTTCCTGAATGTAAACAGTGAGCGGGGATCAGGTAAGTAAAAGTGCTTTACTCCGGCCCCCTAGTCATAAAGGAGCACCTACACCTTGCTGTGCGGTGGAGGGGCCCCAAGGCAAGGGTAGTGATAGGATAATAAGCCCCCTATGTGATAGCAAAGAGGATGTGACAGGTCCTCTTTATGGAGACGTCAGGCGTCTATTAGACCAAAAATGTCATCTAGGGACCCCAAAGAAGCTGATCAAGTACAATCTCTGCTGTATCAGCTTCTCTGGGGTCTATAGATGACATTTGGGGTCTAATAGACCCCTGACGTTCTCTGGCTACAGAAGCTGGAGAAATGGCATGCTGAAACAGGAAGTGATGGAAGTTGCCTCCAGGTTCAGTGAGATCAGCTGCTAGAAGTGTGGTGGGCTTCCACTG